TCCTCCTCATCCTCTTCCTCTGCCCCCACTCTTCTTTCCCCTCTTGGCGTCTCGGGGACGCCCGAGATCCATTGGCACCTGCGTTTCTCTAGAGAATCATTGGGCTGACACCATCCCAGGGCTGATCGCAATTGAAATTGCATTTTCAATGCTGAAATTGCATTTTCGCTCCGAGACCGACCCGATGAGTGACCCGATGACCGGCCTTCCGATGAGCGACCCAATGAGCATCGCCAAACACTGGTCTTTTACCGGGAAAGTGCCGATGAGGAGGCCTCCAAGCAGGCTCCGATGACCGATGAGTCACCCGATGAGCCCCGATGAGCTCACTGGGCCCTCCAGGCCCACCGGGCGCCGAGCCCGGCCCCCCCCCCTAGGGCCTCGTAAGGCGATTGCGAGTGACGATATTGCTCGACGCGCAAGTGTTTGAGAGGTTCTGGCCCGCGCACCCCCAGCACCCTCGAGTGCGAAGCACGCTGCCGCTTGCAACGCAGATGCAGACGGTGCCAGGAGCGCACTCTTGTAACGAGAAGGATGGGGCAGGCATCAGATGGGATCAGGGGCGCTCCTGGCGCGCGTCGCCGTTCGAGAGCAGAGCGGCAGCTTTGGCTTCAGACAAGCAATGAGACACAGTGTGACTGTGCTCTAGTGAAAAGAATAGATTCGCGTGTGCGTCGCAACGAGCGGGCGTGAGAAGATAGGGGGACGGAGGGGGCGGCATCAAAGGAGGTATGATGGCGGTAAGGAGAGCGAGGGCAGGAAGGCACTCTGAGGGAGGGGCGGCGGGGGCCAGCAAGTTCGGCACGGTCTTGGCCGCCAATAGCGTTGCGCGATGATGACCCCTTTCATCAGCAGTATACTATCGGCCCGAACCGAGCCGCAATCCCGCGGCGCCCATGGAGCCGCCCCCGCCACCTCCGCCTCACCCCGTGGAAAGACGAGGCCGAAAACGACGAGGCCCCGCCGAGGACCAGCCATGCCCATGGGACCAGGTCAAGGACAGCTCGGACTCCCCTGAAGAACATGACTCATCCACGGCCCCTGACCCAGTTGCTGCACAAGCTTTCTTAGACGAACTGATTGAGATGTATCTGTTGGGGAAAACCATGACTGCTCGGGCGCTCACTACGATTTGCCATTATGCTCATGAGGGCGGTATAAAAGAAGCGAAACGATATGCTGTGGACCCTTCAAAAAAAGGTGGAAACTCTCAACGTAAACTGGATGTTGCATTGAAGCTCGAACGGTTTGATAAAAGGTCGTACGAGTTAGAGGCGCCAGGTCATGATAGGAACGAGCCTGACATAACTACTATTACGTTCCACTTGACGCCGCCTCACGAGGCAATTGCCGCAGAGTTGGCAGCCCACCCTGAAGTCATCAACGAATTTCACGACAAAGTAAGCGCCGAGCCATGGATCCAGGAATGGGAAGATAATTATTTAGTCAAGCATGCATCTGCAGAAGAACGCCGTACTATGATACCCATCGCCCTTTATATGGATAAAGTTCCGTATATAAAAAAAGATGGGTTCCTTGGAATTTTTGCTCACTTGCTTCCCACTGGGCGGCGGCATATGATTGCATGTCTGCGCACGGCAGATCTGTGCCATTGTGGTTGTAGCCACTGGTGCTCAACATATCCAATCTATCATTTTATTCACTGGTCTTTAAAATCAATGGCTGATGGGGTGTATCCAGAACGTCGCCATGACAATACCCCGTGGCGTGATACTGACCAAGACCGCGCCCTACTTGCTGGCCAGGCTTAGGGGTGGGGGTGGGGCGGGAGCACTGAGTGCAGAACGCCCAAATCTATTGAACATTTAATGGAGGCTCGGATGGGGGGTAGGCAAAAGGAATTGGGAGACGAGGGGGAGGATGTGAATGGAGGCTCGGATGGGGGGTAGGCAAAAGGAATTGGGAGACGAGGGGGAGGATGTGAATGGGGGAGGACGAGGGGGCGGAGGAGCGGAGAAGGAGGCGGACGAGGAGGAGGAGGACGAGGAGGAGGAGGGGGGGAGGGAAATGTGAGGCAATGATGTGGAAGAGGAGGCATAGCTAACCTTGGCCTATATCTGCTACCATCTCCGGTAACCTCACCCCCTGTCCCTCCACAACCCTTCCCCTCCCCCACCCCGTCTTCCCGCTATTGCCCGCGTCCTTTTCACAGCGTGCCATCGCAATAGATCTGGGCGCTCTGTTGCAGGGCAATGAAGCAACATCGGAGCGCGCAGCACGTGTCGAGAAGTGACGAGACTCGTGGGCGGAA